CATGGTCTTGCTGTGCACAGAGGTGAGATTGACTGGTCTATAGTTCCCTGGGTCTTCTCTTTTTTCCTTCTTGAAAATAGGAGATGTTTCCCCTTTTCCAGTCAGTGGGGATTTCTCCAAACTGCCAAGACTTTTCAAATATGATGGACAGAGGCTTTGCAACTTCTTTGGCCAGTTCCTTCAGGAGCTGTGGATGAATCCCATCAGCTATCACAGACTTGTGCACCTTCAGATGGTCACGAACCTGCTCTTCTTCTACAGTGGGGAGATCTTCCTTTTCACAGTCCCTGCCTTTGCCTTCTCCAACTTGGAAGGTGTGACCACAGAGCCCTTGTTGGTGAAGACTGAGGCACAGTAGTCACTGAGCACCGCAGCCTTCTCTATGTCCTCCATGGCCAAGTCTCCAGTGTCCTTCTGAAGTGAGCTCACCTTTTCCCCCATCTTCCTCTTATTGCTGACATACCTGTAGAAACTTTCCTTGTTGTTCTTAACATCCCTGGCCAAGTCCAGCTCTCTCTGTGCTTTGCCCTTCCTTACCCAATCCCTTGCTTCTCTGACAGCTTCTCTGTTCTCCCCCAAGGAACCCTGGCCCTGCTTCCACTCTCCGTGTTCCTGTGCCCATCTGACCACCCTAAACCTTCTGTTAACTCTCCTCTTCCCTCTGAGCTTGCAGGATGCCAGGCAGGGCCAGCCTAACCCACACAGCAGATGGTTTGGGGTGCTGGCACATGGTGATGTATCTGCTGGCACAAGGATGCTGCTCTGCTCTCCCCCTCTGTCCCTGGTCACTGCTCAGCCCACCTCTGTGATGGCATGGGGGGCTGCCCTTCCCCCAGAATCTCTTGCTGCCTCTCCCGTGCAGGATCAGCCAATGCAGCTTTCACCTCCTGGGCCACAGCACTTGGCATTTATCAGCAGGGGCTCAGCCTCAGTGCCTGGCTGCCTACTCTGGTTGTGCAACTGGGACTTTTGACTCTTTCCATGGAGAGTTTTGCAGCAGAACTCTCCTACCTTCATTTCCACTTCCTCCATGAGCTCCACGATGTCATATGGCAAGTCCTTCTTATTGGGTATCGGGAACCGCCCCACAGGCCTCGCAGTGCCCTCCTCCCCGGTGCTGCATGCCACCCGGGGCTGCTTCCAGAGCCCTCCCGAGGCAAAGAGAGGCAGAAGCTGGAGAGAAAGGAGGAGGAAAGGTTGTTACTTTGAAGGTCACAAATTGTCTGGGCAGCCTGGGGAGGAATGGCTTCTCAACTCTTCTGACAGCACTTGGAGGCACCTCTGTCTCAGCAAACCACTCAGGGCTCCATTTTCAGGGCAGTAAGTCCCACTGCTGGCTGCCACCCTAGGCTGCTCTGCACACATTTAGTGAGCACCACCCCCCCTTGCCCTTCCTGTGCACCAGCTCACTCAGCTGCAGGCCATGGCTGCTGCCCCTTGCAGCCCTCATCAGACACACGTCAGCCCACCTGCACCAACACTGAACCTGCAGCAACTCCCAAACTCAAAAAGTGTTTCCCACCAAACTGCACACAGGAACATCACAGAGACATCCAGTTCACTGAGTTCCTTCAACAAAAAAAGCACCAATAATACATTCCTTTTTTTTTCCCCTGCCAATCAGCCTTCTTCCAGGCAAAGTGACATTCCTTCCTGCAGAACAATCAGTGGCATCAGAATCGGGCCTTCTGGAGGCCTAAAGCAAACAGCATTGTTACACCAGAACCACTGGAAGGGGACATTAGAGTAAGAAGAATTTGTGGTCTTGCAGCATTGAGTCCCCTTTGCCTGCCTTATGAAAGCAGCTGCATCTCACAGATAGGCCCGGGCAGCCTGCTGCAGTGCTGGTGCAGGTGTGGGGGCAGAGCTGGGTGTCCCAGCACCCTCCTGGGAGGGCAGCTCCCCAGCTCCCCAGCACACACCACAGCACTTCTCCGTGTTCCCAAGAGCACTACATGATCCTCACTCTCCCCGACGATGTCCCCCACATGGCTGAGGTGAAAACTAAACCTGTTGGATCCGACATTGGCCAAGTGGTGTTGCTTGGCATACAGTTAGAGTTCTGGTGTGAAATCACCACACCACCGCAGCATAAACATGTCACTGTGGTAACTGCGGCAGAGACACCTCAGCTTGCTGCCGTGGGGAAGATGCTGAAGCACCTGTATGTGCTGTGCCAGGTGTATGCATCCAGGTACCATCTATGAAAATGATGAGAACTTCACTAAAGCATCTCTAAACAGGGAAACAATCTCAGAAATGAAACTTGTGAGGATAAGTGCGAAGCTCCTCTCTACCCCTGGAAGAAAAAGAACTGGCGAGTGAGGACGAAGGGTGTGCGACACGGGGCAGCATCTCCACAAGGCAGCTGCAGGAGGGACGCTGAGCAAGGGCCGCACCGATTCACCCTCCGATGGCGACGGCATGTGACGCCCCAGGTGAGGAGAAGCCGGAGAGGGGATCTTATTAATGTATATAAATATCTGAAGGGTGGGTGTCAAGGAGAAGGGGGCAATCTGTTTTCAGTCATGCTCTGTGATAGGACAAGGGGCAATATATGCAAACTAGAGCACAGGAAGTTCCACCTCAACATGAAGAAGCACTTTTTTACTGTAAGGGTTACAGAACACTGGAACAGGCTGCCTAGATGTTGAGGAGTCTCCTTCTCTGAAAACTTTCAAGAGTGACCTGCCCTAGTTTCTGTGGTGGTCTTGCTCTGGCAGGAGGGTTGGACTCAAATGATCTCCAGAGGTCCCTGCCAACCCCTAACATTCTGTGAATGATGGCACCTCAGATTATCTAAGGACTTACTGTACGGTATTCCCTGAGATGTTACAAGGGTTTAGATTGTCTCAGGAATAGTTCAATTGATCTGAGGAAAGCCAGATGGCCTACCTTGGTAGAAAGGACTAACACATAAGGAGTAAACAGGATGGCACTGCTTAGCATAGATAAGGCTTGGAATGTATAGATAAGGCCTGAATTGTGAGGGAAGGGATTGTGTGGGAGGATGCTCCCACAGAAACTTGCAGAGAAGACAAGACCCTGGTGCAGACCCCAGAAAGGAATGCCAAGAGGTGAAAAGTGCACAGCGAGGAAGACATACGGCCTTCATCCCAAAGACCCCTGCCCACGACCACCAGAAGATACTGCGCAAGTGCAACAAGGAGGAGCTCGGGGGGGCAACTATGCTAATGATTAATTGTAATAACCCCTCCCTATCCTCGGACACCTAATGTATATGCAGCAGTATAGATGAATATGTATTACTTTGTGGCATATAATGACCTTGCCAATAGTCCTAGGGTGTGCACGCTTGTGGAGGAGCGATCCCCCTGCACCCAGCGCTGAATAAACACACCTTCTTTATAACCTTATTGGTTCTAAAGTCGTGATTCCGCACGTCAGCAGGAGCCGGCCCGGGGGCCCGCGGGCCGGAGGAGCGGGGCGGGCGGTTCTTCCGCTCCTGGTCGGTCCCGAGCGGGTCCGTCACCCGCCGTGCGAGGAGCTGGGGCACCTGCTCTAATACCCAGCTCTGCGCGGGGCAGGGGCTACTCAGCAAGGTCAATTTCCTGAAACACAGGTGCTGCTTTTATACCCGAAAACGTGAGAAAGAACCTGATCTCCAACACTAATCTATCGCTGGCACACGATGGGTCACTAATCCCTCCCATTTCAAGTGCCAATGCTCAGGAAAGTCACTGCACCCGCTCGGAGTGGGAGTTCAGTAGGGGTCCCTCTAGCCTGCAGGTATGAGTTCTAGGATGATGGTGGATCATCCATGTGTTCATACGGTGGTTTCAATTACTGTTTCTCCCCTGTGCTCAAGGCTGTAACCAAGACAAGCTGCGGGCAGAGCTCCAGAGTGTCCCTTCCATCTGTCCTCCAGGCCGGGTTGGTGACTACTGAGGAGTGTTTTTCTCTAACTGGAACCTGGTTTTGGTTTTGTCTAATTCTTAGAAGCATATTTGAAAATTTATCCTGGTAGAATCACAGAATAGTTATCTAGGCTCTGTTTTTATTCTGCTTGTCCCTTACGTTCCCTTTCATATTTTTTTTCCCCAAATGTGATACCCTCCCCCCCTAGTTTTTCCTATTTCAACCGGT